TTTCCTTCTTATTCGCATGGGTGTGTGTATTTGCGGGTTTCCTTTCTTTTTCCTTTGGCTATTTTTAGGTGTCCGCCATTTGAGGAGCTTCCAAGCGATACCTTTTCTCACGTAAAAATGTTTAAATAATTGAAAAGTTTGAAGAAGTCGTTTTTGCATTCGCAATGAGCTTCGATTGTCATGCAAATTGAAATGCGGGATTATGATAAGATACGCGATGGCTAACTACAGTTACCTTTTCTTGTTTATCCCTTAAGGGATCTAAGGGTATTATCCTTTTTTACACGGAAAATAATACTGCACATCCAATAGTAGATATATGTATGAAAGTGTAAAATATATTTTTGGTAAATTATTTATACAAGATAAAGTTCGGTAAGGAATGGAAGACAGAATTTAACATGTGTTACACTTCCTAACTGAAAAGTGGTACAACAAACACCGGGAGGACGCTAAAGGGGGCGTGTCAAAGCACGTGTTGACAGCCCAAGGATAAAACCTCAAAAGTGATGGGCAGCCTAATGGGAAGAGAGGAGGAAACGTAGGCGATGGGAAATGCAGGACAGATGATACCGGATGAGTAATGAAACTCCACTAAAAACTTTGACAAGTTTTCGCAAAACTTTCCACAGAAGCATCAGAAAAAAGTTCAACTAGAGATATCAAAGTTTTGAAAGTATGCTAGGAAACATTTTTTAACTATGTATATGAGACCAGAAGGAGGGAAAGAACCCAAATTAGTTTTAAGAGCCTTTCTTAGTTAAACTTTGTTTGTGGAAATTTTAAAAACATAACTTAAATTTTGAGAAATATTTTTGGTAACGGTAAGCGCTTTTTATGCCTAAATTAGAACCACTTCTTGTCGTACATTCATAAATCTTTAAAGAATTATACACATACATAAATATTGTATGTATTTTCCTACTTGTTAGAAAAACTCAAGTTTTTTGCAGAAAATCTTTACACTTCCTAAATTGGTTAGCCTAAAATATTAATAAATAAGTAATACTAAATATGTAATAAACCTAAGGATAATACTACTAACCCTCGAAGTTAAAAGTGATTCCCTACGGCTGAACCCAAATCAGTTAAAAATGGTCACCTGTCACGCACTGTTTTATAAATGATACAAACTTGTTCAACAAAAAACCCATAAAACATAAGTCAGGCCTTTCATTGTGTTTTTTTTTTGTGTCCCTTTTTATCGGCAAAGAAATGTCTAACAAAGAAATAATACGAACATCTTTTTAAATGAATTTCTTCAGCCAAAGAAGTCCGATCAGATAAATGTGCTGTCCTGTAAGCAGTTTGGATTAGCTTTATTTAATTAAATCTTTTAAAGTTCGAGCGACTAAACAATTCGGAGATAACGAAGTTTACAGAACAGCCAGCTGGAAAGGATCTTAAAAAATTGTATCCTAAACAAACAAGTTACAGGGTAAAAATCAAATAAAATTAAAGAGTCAAACGAAGCGCACACACTGCACACTGAAAGCGATGGGGTTAAGAGTGGTAAGTGGGGGTAAAAAGGCAAGTGGGTGGAGATTGGAGCGTGTCTTTGTTGCCACAGCAACACAATCTCACTTTAGTTACACTCCGCCATTTTCATGGCTAGATGGCAAAGGCTAGAAAGGGAGTCAAGTAGAAAAAGCGAACTAAAAGGAGGAAAATTGTGTGAGGCAACCTTAGAGACTACACGGTTATTTGGTATTATTGTGAGGTACTAATATTGATTAAAATCCATAATAATATGCTTACTAATAAGGAACAGCTTAAAAGTATCAATGTAATGAAATTTCAAAAGAAAATTTGTTCCCCATTTAATGACATTTTATTTTATCAGTGTACTCTCGGACAAGTGCCTGTTTATAAACTAGGGAAGGGGACGAACTAAAAACTAGTCGCCGGCTGGGGCTCGGAAAGGAGCAGACTGAAAACCAGCAACGAGTAAAATTAATGACATTGTGGGTAAGTCACCTCCAGTCTGGAGCACGGAGTATGGAGTTCAAGTTGAGCACAAGAGTAAGTCAGACCATGGTCAAGCCAGCTGGCTTTATTGGCTGATGCCAGAAAACCCTGTAATGACGTTGGTTAATGGCTACTCCAAGCCATTAGCTGCGATTTCTAACAGGGGATTTAGTTTCCACCAGTAAGCCAAGATCAGCAATGACTTTGGCTTAGAAGGGGGCAGAACGCAAGCGTGGATTTGCGGAAATGGATTGCAGTAAACAAATTTATGAATGTTCTTTTATGATTCGACAGAGAGTTGAGGACCACGAGTTCGTTGACGCGTATATGGCTTAACTATTGAATTTAATATGCTTACCCAAAATGCTTCTTCATTGGTAACAGTGAACTTTTGCGAATGCATTTGAAGTTATTTTTAGTTAATTATTCGGAACAAATTAAAATGGGCGCATATTAACAAAATAAAAAAGGAAAGACACATATCGATTAATATCGAATTTCATTTACTCTGAGTCTTATCATTAAGATTTGTCTGCAAATCAGAACAGAAGGCACGCTTCAATCATCATTATAGAGCATTATGATCTGTCTCGTTTGCGATGAATGATATAGCCCACTAATTGCAGCAGAGGATGCCCTGCTTTATTGATAGCTTGCGGATTATGCAGATGCCACAGGAGGCAGTTTTTTTTCTTCTTCTGCATTTTATCTACCGGTTACAGGCGCTCAAAAGACCACGGATCTCAGAGACCAGACCTGAAGACTTGAAGGCTCTTGGCAACAGCGGGGAAGCAATATAGCTTCGTTACCAGGACAGAGACTCGCTGAGGAATCTGTGTGTGCGTTTGTATCTGTGCGGGGCCGATAAGGCTAAGCAAATACGAGTTTTGTAAAGTATTTCAATTTGAACATTCGCTTTTTTTCCCATCTTATTTTTTGCGCCCTGTACATGAAGCACAAGCTGCAGAAGAAGGAGAAGCGTCCACAGAAGATGGAGGCTGCGAACAGGAAAGCCAGAAATGAAAAAAGATATTGCATGGCCATAAAAACGAGCCACACAGATACACACCAATACACCGGTACAGTGAGAGAAAAGGACGGGCTTAACAGGCTGGCAGACAGACGGACAAGTGGCCAGACCAGCGCTGCCAGTTTTTTCTGGCGTTTTTTTTTATTCATATATTTTTTGTTTGTTGCTTTTCTCCTTGCTCCGCTGCTAACCTCGAGATTTTCCTTTTTATTTCGCGGACCTTGCACAAAAATAAAATAAATGGTGAGGGAAAAAACGAAAAGAGCGGCTGGAAAAATATAAATTAAATGCCGCGTGTGCAATTTGTTGTGGTTTTAAAGTACTTCTTTTAAGAATTTCTCTATGCAGGTTAAACAAAGATGTGAATCATCAAAAGTTAATTAGAGCATAGTTCAGATGGATAATTTAGTTAGCTTGCAACTATAGATATGTATATGTAGGTGTAATTCTAATCCTAACGAATCTGAATTTAAAACATTTTAATTGCAAATTGTAATGCCAGAAGAAAAATAGATTTTTAACTATATACGTTTAAAAATGTCTCGAAAATGTTTCCCTGGTCGGAACTTAATGTATTTAAGTGACACAATCAATTGCCACAACTATATTATGCCTGGTTACCTAAAGATTTAATAAATAGTTATGCTTAAAAATAAATGTTTCTTACTTTTTTTTCTGGATTTCCGCCCTGTTTTTGGCGATTCGGAGCGAAATAGCGCGGAAATTTTGCGAAGCGGTTTCTTGGACGGCTTCTTCTTTTTTAGGTTCATCATCTTGTGCTTCTGAAGGATAAGGAACTACCCCGAGACCGAAAGCCGAGAAACCAAATAGGAACCGAACCGTTTATGTCCTTTTTTAGGATTTTGTCGAGAAAGTCACCACTGAAAACTGTGTGCCGTCCTTTTTCTTTGTGGCCTCCTGAATGGATGCGGCACACACACGCACACAGACGTATCCGGTATCCTGCGAGCCACGTTTTGTCTGTATCCCAATTTTAATGAAACAGCCTCGTGGTCCTTGCACTCGTTCTCCGTTCGTTTCCCTCGTTCCACCGTCATTGTCTTCTGTGCGATTCGATTGAAAAGCGCCGCCTACTACTGCTGTAGTAGGTGTACTACTATTAATTTACTATTACGAAGCGGCGTGGGTTTCCACTACACTTCCACTTTCCCAGCGATATCCTGTGGCAGGCGCTTCGTCCTGTCTGAGAGTTGAAATCAAACTGCCGCCTAGGTTCGACTAAACTGAAAGCCTCAAAAGAGGCTCGAAACTTCCAGAGAGCGCAGGAGAGACTGCGAGAGCAGGGAGAGCTTACGCTTGCGCGCGCCAAAAACGAGAAGCGGGAAGGGGTTGGAGCTAGAGGATGTCGGTGGTAGTGGTGGAGAGCTCTTCTCGCTTCTTATTTCCCACAGCATCTGGCAAGTTCAACTTGCTCTCTCGCTCAAGTTCAGCAGTGCACAGTGGGACGGAACGATGCGTAATCAAAGTCATTAACAAACATTTTCCAATTATTCATAAATTATAAATTGAACCAGAACCAGAATTGAACCATTGACAAACAGTCACAAAAACTCCATCACATTTTTTTTATGGCTTTAGGGATTGAATGGAACAAACGGAAAATATTAAAGGATTAATGTAGTTTTCAAGCATTATTTTAAATTATCATTTCTAATACTCATACAGATATCAAAATGATAGTCTAATACAAATGCATTTTTCTGTTGATTTAACCCCACAGTGCCAGACTGGGAGCTCTGCCCGCGGCAGCAGAGGCTGAAAGCCGGCTACCGGCGAGGGCTGTTGCTCCTTTTCTTTATTTCACTCTTCCATCGACCATTGCACAGTGGGCTCGATAAAGTCGTTTAGAAACTTTAGTTTTTAAATCAACATAAATAAAACATTTTTATATATATTTATATTTATAAATACTGGCGTATACTTGGACTATTTTTTTTTAAAGAAAGTTTCCATGTAAAAAAAGTTTCTTGCCCTACTGTGCGCTGCTCACCTTTCGTCAGCTCCAGCTTCAGTTGACGTCGCATAAGAAACTCGCCACAACTCGTGTGCGTAGGAATTGGAATGGACCTTGTGAACAAAGCTGATTGGGGATTCATTGCCTAATGCAGCGAAATTTGATACTTTCAAATTGGATTAGGGGTAGGTACAAAAATTAAAGACGGCTGAATGCGCTTAAGATATAAACAAAGCTAAACTTTCATAAGAATCCGCTTGTGTGCATAAAGAAACTAAAATGGTTAACCTAATACTTATGACCAAAAATGTTTTAATTTTTAAAATGTTTTTTTTTTTTTTTTTTTTTTGTAATCATGAATCTAAACATTGATAAAAATGTTTTTATTTTTGGTGCACTTTAATTGAAATTTCGATTTGACGATTTGGGTCCATCCGAAACAAAGTGCTTGCACATTGTACATATTTATTTTAATAGCTTGCGCCATTTGTCGAATTCCTTCTTTATTTTTGATTTCGCTTCGTCTTTCGCTCATCGAATAAGACCGCGACTCCAGACTTGTTAACATATAGCCATATACATATGTATATATGGAGTCCACCCCCTCCCCTGTTTCCACCACCCCCTTTCGGATTGTCTACTTTTCGCTGACAACATCCATATTTATTTATGTATGTACACAGACATACCTACATAGGCTTGTTTGTATATTTACGTAGAACTGCGTAACAACAACAAGAGCACCAGACCTATGCATAAAACACAACAACTTCAGCATCCATTTCACCACTAATAACAACAAAAACTTCTGCTTGACAACCCCGGCAAATACAAGAAAAGGGAATAAAATAAGGAAAGTCGCAAGAGAAGAAAAAAGGAAACAAAAGACGCACGCGGTTGCCACGGAACTAAAAACTTCTGTTTGTGTGTGTACGTGAGTTCACACTCTCAGGCGAGAAGAGAAGCTGCAAGCAACAAAAAAATAAACAAAAGTGGGAGAGCAGCAGCCGCCACAAAAAGGAGACAGACAACTCCCACAGCACAAGTTCGCTAATTTAGCCAGTAAGTTACAGTCTGATACGATTAGTTGGAAAATGTGCTTCCTCTAAAATATATAAACATGTAAATACAAATGCATTATTATAAAATACATAGTAGTATTAAATCAATTTTATTCATTGGAGCTTTAGACTTCCCCTTCTTATTTGCCACTACATATTTAACTCCCCCTAATTTATTACGTGCTGTGAGCCAATTTCTCAATGTTATTTCACCAACTCTGGGACAGATTATTAGGCTTAATTGATTGGCGCGTCGTTTTTTCCCAATTAATAATAGTTCCCAACACAAGAACAATAACATGCATATATAGAGAAGGGGGTTTATTGATTAAGGAATTATCGGGCTCACTCCACTTTCAATACGCTTGCGAAATGTTCAAATCATACACTGATTGAATTAGGCAAATTGAATGAAAATTGAGAACATGATTATGAGGGTTTAATCATCCAAATTGCAAATTGCAAATTGCAATTTTCTCTTTTGCTTGCCTTTTTTGTTATTATCCAACATAAAACTTGAACTCCCCAGCAAATATGTTTATTCCATTGATTCAGCAGTGCACAAATTTTGGCCTGCTATAATGAATCGAATATCCATAATTTCAGTCACTGATTTGCAGATGGGGCATTGATTGTTGCAATCCAAATGAGCAAGGATGCAATTCTCACCGAAAAGGTGACCACATTTAATGGAAACTGCGCGATGTCCTCCGGTAACCTCATACTTCAACTGGCAGATGTGGCACTTGTTATTTTTGGCGATACTCCTTAGTTTTGAAGACAGCTTGAACTTCTCCTCAGCATTCGCAACCGTGTCCTGCGCGGACAGCATCAGTCGCAACTCCTTCGTTTCGGCCTTCTTCATTTCCAGTTCCCGTCCCAGATTAGGCATAAGCTTTTTGAACTCGAGTTTATCATGGATGGTTTCGTCCTTTAGATCGTTCTGTTTTCTCTCCTTAATGATCTCAGTGATGAGATTTTTCTTTAACATCTTCTTAATATCTTTTTTACCCATCTGCTTTTCAATGTGAAATAACCTTTGCAAATATTACAGACGCGGCCGAGTTTTATTTTGAAATATCAGGAACATTTATTTTTGACAGCTGTCTCTTGGTAGTGTTTAATAGTATTGCCATACTTATTGCACGAGAAACGTCATAATTTTGAAATATGTATTTAAATATTCCTCTAAATAATATGGGTAAATCAAATAACCACTAATATCAAAACTGTGAAAAGCCTTTACCAAAATCAACTTTAAAGAGTATACATGTACATATGCATACACGGACGTGACCTTGTAAAAATTGTCAATCTAGGCAGTCCACTTTTAAACATTCACAGGGAATATACTTGTGTTTTAATAGAGATTATCTTGAAATTTTTTTTCATCTTGTACTTCTTTTTAAAAATTTCTTTTGCTATAATATGTCCAAAAAAAGGCCTGGCACTCGCTCGTTGAAGAGGATGTTGAAGATGGAACTTGTTAAGGAGCTCTTAGAGGAAAGACAAATTGGTGAGCAAAAGGACAAGCAACTGGCGAAGCTAAGAATCACAATTGAAGATTTGGATAAACTTCACGAGGAGGAAGACGATATAATTTTAAAAATGGAAGAGGAGATGGACAAACAGAAATTATTGCACGATCAGTTGCATTTCGTATCCAACGAGCAATTAACAATGCAGCTAGAGAAGATTGCCATGGAGAATAGGTGCAGCATATGCCTGTGTCCCTGGGAAGCGAAGAACTATCACCGCCTAGTTTCCCTTAAATGTGGTCACCTTTTTGGGGAGTTGTGCATCCGGACCCACTTGCAGCTGTCGAATGTTTGCCCTATATGCAGAGAAATAGCTGATGGAAATGACGTCCGACGTGTGTTATTGAACGACAACCCATAACAAACTTATAATTCAAAATTATTTTTTTATAATTACGATAAATCATTAAAGATTACCATACCCCTAATCAAGTACGTTCAATAATTTGTTTATACCGCGACCGACTTAACTAATAAACATATGTTTTAACAAATCATTTCAGCCAAAACTATAATTTTCAGTCTACATTACTACTTTCTTAGGTTTGGGATCATTTACCAAATCATTAGGAAAATATCCTTGTGACAGAATTAATTTATATTAAAGAATTTAATTTAAAGATATATTTTATGCAATAGTTAACTATTTAAGTACGGCATTTGCACCTTCCTATGACTTTGTATTTCTGAAAATGCTGATTAAATTTGGCAACCAACATACACATGTGCAAATGCGGATTAAGTGTAATTTAAATTCGGTTTTCTAAACGACATAGCCACGTATTTCTATGAATCTAAAACGTCATGATTCAACCTTATTAAAAAATGTGCTTATATAAAAAGAATGTTTGATTTTTGATTCTGATAAACGCATGACTAAAATAAACTTCTTTGGTACGTTATTGCTTTGGTTTGATAACTTCGTTTTGCCGGCGACGTTCTTTTTGGCTGACCCGGTGGTTCCCCCTTCTAGCATTGATTGGGTTTCCAAACTGGGTAGGCTGCGCCTCAGTGGGGAACGGCGATTTCACGTCCTGGTCGGAACTCTCTTCCAACGGTTGGTAAGGTATTTCAAGGTATTTCCCCGGCTTGAACTCCTTGATCTCTCCCTGCTCCTGGCTGCTGCCTGAATAGGACTTGCAAGATCCATACAGGCTGATGGAACTGATTGAACTTTTGGCAGTGTGATAGGATCCACTTGGGCTGGGGTTCTTCGGCCGGGGAATCTTGCGTGGTCTGAAGAATTCGGGGTCCGTGATGAGAGGAAATTGCTTCCGGCCGTTTCTTACAATGTGAATGGGTCCTTCTGGAGCTTTAATTTCGGGCAAAACGGGCAGCGAGTCATCCGCCATGGACATCATTCCGAAGTGTCGCATCATGGCTATCGCCTCCAGTTCCTTTGTGCTGTCATCCTCCCAATCTGCCATTGTGGCGTGCTCACCCAGCGGCCTTGTGCCCGCTATCTTCTGGATTTTCTCCATTAGCTGAAGGCTTTCCCGAATTTCGCGACCCTTTCCGCTTGTGCTACCGTGGAGATTTTCGAGCTCGGAATTCCTCTTTTCCCGAGATTTTAGATATTCGTATGTGCTTTTGGGTCGCGGGCAAAACTCATCTTGTTTCTTGATATCGTAGGCTAGCTGACCATGGACAAGATTGAAATCCGGCTCCATGGCGACCAGATCATCTTCGAACTGCGAATTGGGAACCCAGGCCATGATCGTGCGTGCTCTTTAAGCGAAATGTATTTGTTAATCTTCTGACATCAGCCCTAACCTAAAACTCACCAAACAAAAAAAAAAACCAACGACGAAATCTTACAAGAAATAATTAAACAGTTAATTGTCAAAAAAAAAAAAAAAAAACAACTCAGATGTTCAGCCAAATCGTTTTAAAGACTCAGTGTGACCAGTCGCCATTAAGTACAAAAATCGCGTAAGAATCATTACGGCGGTGGTGAATTTGTATGCACCGGCGTGCGGTGAATTTTTTGCACACCGGTGTATGGTCAAGGTGAATATTATTGCGCCAAAAAGTCAAACAAAAAGAAAAGGAAGGGGGAGCGGGGTCCAGCCAGCAAGTCATTAAATAAACAAAGGGTAGAGTCCCGCGGATCAACATAAATACATTCGCAATTTATGCGAATCAACTCAACTTCCAACTCACCAGCAGCGTCTAGTCCGGCCTGCGCGTTTTGCTTTTGTGGCTACGTCTACACCAAATTGGCGTTCTCGATTTGGAATTTCGATCTAATCCTCTAATCCACTGCTATGCAAAACACTTAGTAACAGCGATCATGCCCGCATTCACAGAGTAATAAAAATGCAAAAAGTTCTGCAAACGCTGCTAAAATGTACTTTAATGTGCGATAGAGCTGGAACAATTATTGATGCACACTGCAAGCTATCGATATTTTCAGAAAATCGCTGATATCGATGCTTATCGATTTCGCATCAGAAATATCGATCGTCTAAAATCACATCAAATTTGTGATTGTATTATTGGCACGGATTTGTACAAAATTGATATTATATTTAAGAAAATATAGAATTAATTTTTTTTTATAATTTTCATTCTATTAATTTTTTTTCTGCAATATATATATCGAATAACGAAATGATATTACAATTTCTAAAATATATTACTGATTTTTATCAACTTATAACTAATCATTTTTCGATCTATACTTTTTGTGGACTTATATTTAGTGTTAATTTCCTAGTGCGATTTACTTAATTCGTTATCTTAATAAACTGTACAATTTGATGGTATTTCAAATACGGTTTTCATCAAATTTGACTTCACGTGCCCTGTTTAGAGTACATGTCCTTGATTATCTGCATGCGAGTCATTCGAGTTGCGCACAGCCAGGAGTCCTTAATTTGAAATGCCTCAAACTGCTTGCGATCTTCCTTGAAGGGTTTGTAATAAACATCATAGATTATGCGCAGGATGCGCTGCACATTCGCCTGCGACGGTTTCTTCGAGTGATTCGCAAATATTTGGTTCCTGTGCATCTTTGTGTACTTGCCATCATCCCACCAATCTGGAAAATCCTTATCTGTATATGCATCGTCAGGTCTAAGCTCCTCCTTGATTTCCATTGTGGGACTAATGTGATGTACCGCCTTTAGTGATGAAAACGTTGTTAGGAAATGTGAGTTTTCTTTCAGTTTATTCTTACATCCGGCGTACTCCAACTCCAAGCCAGTTCTGGCGTCGGTGACTGTGTTTCTTCGGCTGGTTTCTCTTCGCTCAGCATTCGCTCGAGAAATTCATCCTGCCGATCTTCCTCGGCAAGGGACAGGGCCAACTCATCGTCCAATTCGTCCATTTGCTGCTGGGCGGAAATTGTGGGGTTCTTCATGGGCAAGTCTATTTTTGTAGGAGCTCCTGGCGGCGGATCTATTGACTGGAACCATCGCAGCTGGCCATTAACATTGACAGCCTGGAGAGAATAGAACATAATTGAAGCTCGAATTTACGAACTATATGGCGCAGCTTACAATAACGTGCTTATCGCTGAGGTCTCCATGGAGAATCTGCGGCTTGCAAATGGTGATGATGGGTGGCTGCTCCTCCTGCACTTCCTCGTAGACATATTCCACATTTTCTTCCTCGTGTTCATTTTTGGCATGTGCCTCTATCACACTGCTGACAATTGCTTCTTTTGCTTTTGGCAGTACTGGCATTACCTTGTTCTTTGGGATACTTGCGTGCTCCATCTGCTTTTTCAGCATAGGAACTTCAATAATCTGGTCGTCCAGCATCTGTTGCTTTTTCTGCCGTTGTTTCAACTGCTGATCCCTCAGCATCTGCACCTTCTGCTTTTGGTCCCTTAACTTTCGATTCTTCAACTCCTGCTTCTCTGTGATCTGATCTCTTAGTTGTTGTTCCTTCAGCATTTGTTTCTCCAGCAACAACTCCTGGCGCAGTTCCTCCGCAGTTTGTATGGCCTCCTCTATGCCCGAGTGCCGTAGCTCGTGGTGCCGCTTGAGGTTAGCCTTTCTGTCCGAGCTGTAGGTGCAAAGGGAGCATTTAAATGTCCTGTGGCTCTTCTCCGGATTGTTGTGCACCATCAAGTGGCGCTTAAGGTCGTAGGGGCGATTCGTCTCGTATCTGCAGCCCATCACCTGGCACTGCATCTTGGCATTGCGATGCTGGTGCGGCACTTCAGGAAGGCGCTCCTTGGACCCGGGATGCTTGAGGGACACGTGCCGTTTCAGATTCGACGCCTTGTCGGTGCTGTAGACGCAAGCGGGGCATCTGTACAGCTTGGGTTCTGTAATGACGGTGTGGGACTCCTCATGACGCGCCAGGTTGAAGGGCCTATTCGTCCTGTAGGGGCACCTGGCCACGCTGCAGCGTAATTTCCAGGCGGGGCACGATCCATTTGCATCTTCCGACGAATCCCGATCCTCGCCCAGCATTGCAGAAGTCCGCACGAGAAGCACAATCGGTAAAGTTAATGCTACAGGGCTAGTCTGGTGTTTGGGTATCTTGGGAACACGCTCATTTCGGTGGACCACTAAGCTTTGTGTTTGGTGTACATGAAGGATATGTATTTTAATTAATTAATTTTAATTACATGTTTGTTTGTTTGGAGCACATATCGATGACTGTTGATATCGATTGGTCAAAGAAAGGCACTGGTATTGAATAGGTATTTCAAAGTCACAACTATCGCGGAGTATAAAAAAGTGTTGCAAGCGTTTTCACAATGCCAGTGTTCCAAGTCGCCATTATGTGCGCGGGTTTTTAAAAATGGCCCAAAAGTGAGATTTTAAAAAAATAGAGAATGGAGCACGAAATTGGCGAAAATAAAGTGGAAAACGACACATAAAATTTAAAAGAATGTCCTAGTTCCCAGCAACTGTTTTGTACGCCCATGCAGAAGCGACCTGCACTTGGAAGAGGTCATTATCCTTGCCGCCGTTTTACTACAGGACACATGCGCTCTGCATCGCCTGCAGCCGGCGTGCCGTTTTCATTGAGTTCTTGGGGCCACCATTGAATAGAAATACCCCCTCAGTCATTTAAACTCGGTTCAGAGTTCGTCTGGGCTGTAGGAATCGGTTTTGGGATCGGGAGTCCTTGCAGTTTTTCAGCTGTTTCGACTTTTTCACTTGCTCAGTTGAAAGTCGACTGCTGGCCAAGGCGCACGAGAAACTCGGAAAACAGCGGGCAACCCAATATATTTCTCAATTATTAAAGCCAAAAAAATTCTGTATTTTCGCCAAAGGCAAACGAAAAGCCCGAGAAAGAAAGTAATTTCAAATAAAACATGGCCAAGCCCCTTGCCATTTGTGTGCTTGAGTGTTTCTGTGTTATTGTCTAGGCCATAAAAATAATTGCACAAATATATCCGGTTATGCTGCCCCAGCTAAAAGCAACAGGGAATACTAAATAAATAAGCAGCACCCAAAAAAAAAAGAATCCCTTTAATTGGTTAGCCAACGCCCCCGTCCTATGTTTAACCCACCTTACCGACGTTTTTTCAAAGCCCACAACTGTGTTTGCCGTTCTAAATTGGCATAAATTCATTTATGGGTCAAACACCCTCTTAAAAGTTACCAAACCGTAGAAAAAATGTATGAAAAAGTACCCCCATGCACTTGAGTGTATTGGTGTTGGGGTTTCGTCTGTGTGTGTGTGTGTGTGTGTGTGTGTGTGTGCACTTCCGGTTGCAGAGCACGGAACGGAAATATGCAGTGGAAAGCCCCTCCCAACATGTTACAAATTTGAAATTGCGCAAGGTTATTCCAAGTGAAAGAGAAACCTCCAGCTAGATATCCGCAGTTATTCTTGAATATTTGAGAATTTCGAAAATGAACTAATCGGCCAGCCTCTATCACCCACTCATTAGTCAGTCAAAACGTGCAATTAAAGCCGAACAAACCAATCATGGAAATTAAATGAAAATATTGAAAACAATTTTCGCAGCAAATTGTTTATAATTCATACGATATGTTTTTCATCTTTTTCGCGCCGTTCCTCACGCAAACGTAAACAATTAACGCAAAACGTATCGGATAATCGTATTTAGATGCTCTTGCTATTCTGATATATTCACAAAAATTATTTAAAACCTATTACTTAAATAAAAAAACATATAAATCAAATTATAAAATGTCATTGCGTTTATGTGAGGTTTTAAAATAAAAAGCAACCAGATACTGCTAGAGTATACGAAATGTAGTTTTGTGAAAGTTTCAAAGTACGTGGCATCAATATTTTTATTTTTTCGGATGATTTCAGCTATTAGCCTGGCCGGAATCAGTTTTCAATTTCGTTTTGATTTTCGACCTCTGACCTCGTTGCTGCACTGGAGGTTCTACGACAGCAAACTCGTTCAATTGCCGCCCTCAAGAGGAAATCTCAACTCAAGGTGAGTGAAGGTGTGCCCCATACACAGAGAAATATTCTCGATACATTTATAGACTTGGATCAAAAAATAAATGAAGAAACCAGTTTGCATTGGCTTTGAGCTATATATATTATTAACCAATATTTGAACTTGGTCATACGACTATTTTTAAATAGGTACGTATCAAATAACCAATTAGAATTACTTTTCCTAAAAGGTGCGCATATTTGTTTGCTGCCCGAGTAAAGGGGAAATACACGTTTGTGTGATGAGAATTATTACTTTGCTGCTCTGCTCCAGTGGCCATTGTTTGCCCAGTGGCCTTTGACCCTTTGTCCAGCTGGTTACTCACTGGGGTACTCACACTCGATCCCATGCCCATTCCCCTTCTCGGCGGCATTTGCATCCCCATCACCGTCCTGTCGATGACTCTTCAGTGTCCACTTGTGCCAGTTTCTCGATTACCAGAAGCAGAAGCTGACGAAGGGGAGAAGGTCGCACTGTGCCGAAAGAATTTTCATCTATTTGCATCCATTTTGATCTGGGTTCAGAGGAAGCTGAAGGTGTTGCACTCGGCGCCTGTGCTTGATTAACTTAATTTAAATGAGGCAGGGCAAATAAAGGGGGAGCTGATAAGAAAGACTGGCAGGAGAGTGCCATTCTGATTGATTAGTTTAAAAGGTGCTTGCGCTTCTATTGTCATTATTACTCAGCATGATGCCAATCGCTTGGATTCGCCATTTGGCACGAGTGCATTTTCCATGACAAAAAAATAAATTTAAACCTTAACTAAACGAAGTTTTTATTGTGATGTGCAATAATGTATTGAATCACAGTCATATAATTCAAGTAAAAGAAAGTTTGCCGTAAACATGGCCATAAAAATAGATAAGTAAATTTATTGATAGAATTATTTCTGAGAAATCGCAGACGGCGCATTAAATCGCAAGACATTACCCAATTGTTGATACATTGTTGAGCATTTGTTGAAGATTAGTTTGTTGAGGAAAACCTTTATTTTGTACTTTAAATCGAACTAAATCTTGCCGAAAATCGTGTCCATTCTGAAAGCCCCAAGAAAGAGTTCTTATATTTTTCTATGCCAGTCGCGTTTCGTGCATTATTGCAAAAACGGAACCGTAAGAACGAGTTAACCTACTTTCAGGTTGCAGGTGTGTGTGTGTTTCCACGGGTGCATACAGTTGCATTTCAGTTGTTCCATGCATGTAAACAAACAAACAGAGCCACTAACACCAGTGCAAGGGCGCACGAACACATGCAAGAAATTTGATTCATTTGCATGTTGCACCCCCCACAAAACCACCCTCACACAAACACGCATACTCACCCCCACACACACGCGCACTCACACAAACGCGCACACCCCACTGCACACAAGTGCAACTATAACAATCCTCGCAGAAATACTGTGGAGGTCAAAATAATAATAGTAAGTTGCGCCATTGCGAATATGCTTAAATCAAGTGTGCCACAATCATGTTCTACACATTTTTGCAGTTTTATTTACCCCAACAAAGTAATATCGTTATATATTACCATATATGCTATATGATATTTTGAAACGTCTCGCATTTGCAAGTAAATAACATTTTAAAATGCAATTTTTTAAGTAAACTATATGTAATATAGTATGTAAATTCCGGTGAATAAACTTGTTTACTCCAACAAAGTAATATCGTTATACAGGTATATTACCATATATGCTATATGATATATGATATTATTTTAAAACGTCTCGCATTTGCAAATTAATAACATTTTAAAATGCAATTTTTTAAGTAAACTATATGCTTATTTGACCTCAAATATATTTCGGTAAATAAACTTGATTTTTTTTTAATTTAAATTAAGTTGTGGCATACTTTTCGAATTACTTCCGTTTTGGACACATTTGTAGAGGTGGCGAGGGGCGGAGGACAGTTAAACAGCTTTTAAGCGCAAACAAAACCCGCAAACGGAAGGGGTAGGGGGTCTGGGAAATGGGAAGGGGTGAGTGGTGAGGGGGGAGGGGGGTGCCTTGGGGTCACCGCAGGCGAGTGCAGTGCCCTCAATTAGAAGGCGCCCAAGGACACCGTCAGCAGCAACACGAATGGCAACGCCAGCTGCTCGCTAAGTTCGCCTTTAATTGCTGACAACACGGCGTATACGTAATGCCGACCTGCAATTCCCTCAGTAGAATAAATATATTGCGCTGCGCCTTTCCAAACCTTAAGTTTGGACTTCTACGGCTGCACCCCTGCCCTTTGAACTGCCTCTGAAGCGGTTCGTGCTTGGCCTTCTCCAAAAAAAGGAGAAAACGGGGGAAATGCAAAAACTGAGGGTGAATGGGGCTCCAAGTGGTTGGCGTTGCCTTGGCTGGCATCCTTTGGTATCCACAGCAACGTCTTCAGACTCAAGTTACTGCCGCAAACAAAAACAGAATCAAAGGCGAGTTGAGATGCAGCATTTATTAATGCCCTGTAATAGACCAAAAAGCGAGACGTATAATTACGTTATAAATTACGTTACGTTAACAGCACAGAGAGATATTTGTGTTGACAGTCAGATAGCAACAGTACACAAATGTTAGGCAACTTACAAACCTCTATCAGCCAATTTAATCACAGAGTAAGTTGCTCCGCTTTGTGGTGGGAGCTCTTTGGGTTGCCTCATATTTTGCTCACTGCTTTAGCTTCTGCTGGTGATGTTGCTGCAATTATTGTTGCGGTTCGTCCTCGACGTTGTCTTTGCCTGCGGAATCACCAAGGACACGCACTGTGCGTGTGTGTGTGTGTGTGTGTGTGTGTGTGTGTGTGTGTGTGGAGCCACAAGTCGTTGGCGTTTGTTGCCCGCCACAAGGACACTTGAGGCATGCATGCCAGATTTGCGCCACCCGCGCCACTCGCTGCTCCTCCAGCAGCCCAAGGATCGGTGGCCGGATGTTGGAGCAGCCTTCGCCGGTGGTGAAGCGACAAACCTGAACCTGAGTTCCTCTGCTCGCTTACACGGAGCGAAATGGGGCTAGTGCTGAATGGAGTTCCGTTTGGTGGGCACATACTTTCG